CACTGATTCTCCCCAAATGCACTGGCCCACATCTGCCTTAAAACCCTCATTTAAAGTATCATGCGAGGTATTAACATCTAGAGGTGCTTGGCCTCGAAATATTGTACTTGATCTTCCGAGTTATCCAGAGTAGGAAAAACAGAAAAGACAGATAAGAGTGCATCTAAAATGGGCCATGGCACTGAGGGGCAGCTTTGGCTTGATCACCCTCCACTGTGCTTAACACCAAAAGGAAAAGAGGGGCTCAGAGACAACTGAAACATTTGGAGTGATCTTACTGAGTCTACTCAGAACTTCGCAGAGGTTGCAGCAGGTTGTCTTTTCTCACAAGAGCGCCAGTGGCTGCAGTGAAGATGAATGGGGACCTTATTTTCTCACTGCAAGAGAAACAGTAGCACAAAACACATTCTAGAAACTATACTGCCCAATGTATAACCATCAGCCGCATGAGGCTTTAAGCTCTTAAAAGGTGGCTGGTCTGAGCTGAGACATATACTAAGTGTAAAGTGCACATCAGATTGCAAGGACTTAGTACCAAAAAGGAATATAAACTACCTCGTTAATAATTTTCACCTTAATTATATATTGAAATGTATGGTTTTGGTATTTTAAGTTAAATAAAATACACAACTAAAAGTATTTTCATGCCTTACTCTTCTTTTTTTTTTTTTTTAACGTGAACTACTAGAAAATTTAAAATTACTTATGTGGCTCACATTTATGGCTGGCATTAAATTTCCACTGGACAGTACATTATAGAACAAACTGTTATAGAACAAACAGAATTGGGGCTGAGGCTGTTAGTCCCACTGGTCTTGCTTGGGATTTTTTGGTGGGGAGAGGGGAGGGTTCCTTGTTTTACAGATGAAGGGAGAGAAAACAACTCTGTCTTTTTGAGTCCTTGATGTATCAATTGGGGTTTCAGTTTCTTTGTGGAAGCAGGAAATACCAGTTGCATTCCACAATAAATGAGGGAGATGTGGACTAACCCAAAAATGCACCCAGAATGAGCTTTCTGTTGGCCTGTGCAATGGTTAGAAACTGTGTTAAGTCTGTTGGTCAATCTGGTTCTGTTTTGCTGCCAGTATTAAAAGGAGGAAGTTATTAAACAGACTCTGTATTTAAAAAATGAGTATTGACTATCAAAATGAGCTTGGGAATACTCTCTATAGTGAGAGCTGGTCTTAACTTTTATTTAGGGCTATGTCCTCTTATATGTAGGTGTAAACCTTCATGTACAATGCTTTTCTCTGAAACTAAACATAAATCTCCTGAAACCCATGGATTCTTGCCTAACACTGAGTTATAGATTTCTCCAAGAACATCTTCATTCATCATTTAAACATATTGCACAGTCTGGGTAACATAATAGTCGATTCTAAGATGCAGTTTACATTACACAGTCCCATACTTTCAAGGGCCTTAGTATTTTTATTCATTTATTCCACAGATATTTATTGAGCACTTACTGTGTGCCAGGCACTCTGCCAGGCGTTAGGGATGCCATGGGAATGATAAATAGGACAAGATCACCGACCTCTAGAAATTACAGTTGAGTGTAGAGGGTAGACATTTATCAAACAATCACATGTGAGAGTTCTGAGAAGCAAGAAACAGGGAGAATTCACAGCTTTGAGGGGAAATGAGTTGTAGATGGGAGGAGGTATAGTTCTTTCAAATATAATGGGAAGAGTAATGCCCTCAATCTGAATAGCTACAAAAGGAGCCAATGTGCTTAGCATCAAGTATGTGAGGGGAGAGCAAACGTAGATGGGATGCCTAATATATCCCAGCTACATAATCTAGACATAAAATCATTCATTATTTAGACATGGCCAACTACTCAAAGCAAGATTTAATTTCACAGAACGGCCAGGAATTAAGAGTAAACTCATGCATCAGTGCTGAATTGCAGGTTGGTGGGGGGCATACTCAGCCCATAACAGCAGAAGGAAACATTTGGCGGTAGAGACAAGCTTGTCATTATCATCTAGGAAATCCATTATGTACCAACACTGAACTTCCATACTTGCTAAGACTCTTTAGTGGGTCTAAATACCACTGCAGAAATTGAAATATAGGTCAAGATGGATGTCCAGTGACTAAGCATGCAGAATGTGGGGGAGTGGGGCATGGGAAGGGAGAAGGACGATGAACCATAAGATAAAAACCCAGCCATGGGACCTTTGCTTTCAGGAATATTCAGGAGCATTGTTGACCTGGAGAACATTGTGGAAGTCCAGTGGCTTCCATGAGCCAGGTTATATGTGTAAATGTGATCAATGCTAGAGCCCTATGACCGACCAAGGTCAGTCTCTGAGGGATGTTGCTTAATACTAACTTCCCCAGTTTGGAAGGAAACATAGGGACAGGGAGTCCCTAGTTTTTTCTGCTTTAAGTCAGTATTGCCCCCAAGTGATTTTGATACACTTTTAAAAATACTGCTTTATGTTTAAATATCTCCTAGACAGATATATTTTTGTGTGTACAGTTGAGTGAGGGACTGGATTAGGAATATATACTTCACAGGAGACTCTTTCTGGGGATTCTGATATGTACTCAACCCTAGAAAAGTACAGTTGTTTTAGGGACTGAGAGGGAGACAATGACTCACAATCTTGTCACCATTAAAACTTGGGAAGGCAACAATAGAGAAAAGGCAATGACCAGCAGAAGACATAAATGATTCTGATCAAATCTGTAAGAAGGAGATGGTACTTCAAATAGGCTCTTTTTAAAAAGATTTTTTATTTGTTCATGAGAGACACAGAGAGAGAGGCAGAGACATTGGCAGAGGGAGAAGCAGGCTCCCCACAGGGAGCCCGATGCAGGACTCGATCTCAGGACTCTTGGATCACACCCTGAGTTGACAGCAGAAGCTCAACCACTGAGCGACCCAGGTGTCCCTCTTGAGATGTCTTTGGTGCAAAAGGTGGTTTTTTGTTTTTCACATTTTTTTAAAGTTTAATTTGCCAACATATAGTATAATATCCAGCACTCATCCCATCAAGTGCCCTCCTTAATGCCCGTCACCCAGTTACTCCATCCCCCCAGCCACTTGCCCTTCTGTGACCACTTGTTTGTTTTCCAGAGTTAGGAGTCTCTCATGGTTTGTCTTCCTCTCTAATTTTTCCCACTCAGTTCCCCTCCTTTCCCCTATAGTCCCTTTCACTATTTCTTATATTCCAGGTATGAGTGAAACCATATGATGATTGTCCTTCTTTGACTGACTTATTTCACTCAGCATAATACCATCCATTTCCAACCACATCAAAGCAAATTGTGGGGATTTGTCGATTTGTCCTTTCTGATGGTTGAGTAATATTCCATTATATGAATATCCATTCATCTGTCAAAGGACATCTCAGCTCCTTCCACAGTTTGACTATTGTGGACATTGCTGCTGTGAACATTGGGGTGCAGGTGTCCTGGCATTTCACTACATCAGTATCTCTGGGGTAAATACCCAATAGTACAATTGCTAGGTCATAGGGTAGCTCTGTTTTTAACCTCTTGAGGGATCTCCACACTGTTTTCCAGGGTGGCTGCACCAGTTTGCATTCCCACCAACAGTGCAAGAGGGTTCCCCTTTCTCCACATCCTCTAACATTTGTTGTTTCCTGTCTTGTTAATTTTTGCCATTCTCACTGGTGTAAAGTTGGTATCTCATTGTGGTTTTTATTTGTATTTCCCTGATGGCAAGTGATGCGGAGCATTTTCTCATGTGCGTGTTGGCCATGTGTAGGTCTTCTTTAAATAGGCTTTGAAAGAGAATCATGATTTAGAAAGTTGAAGGTGACAAGAATTCCATGTGTAATAGTTATATAGTCATTTAAATGTAGATAAAATTTGTGATACCTGATATATGAATATATTTATAATATAAAATATACAAAGAGTTTAGTTTTAATATGTAAATCAATACTGTATTGGTAATATTGACAAGAATATAAAATATATTAATTTTATTCTCTATTTTCTAAACCTTATATATCTTGCTTACCAAGTATTCAAATTAGAGTAAAAAATCATACACCAAGTCATTCTAATGCTAATAAGATCTTTAATGTAATCTTTGATTGATAGATCTATCACTAGTTAAATGACGCTTCTTTCTTAGCTGAGATTTTACATATTAAATTATTCCGAAGACTTCTTCACCAAAGTGAAGGTCATTAGGTGGCTGGGGATGTGATGAGGCACCTGTGGAGATTCTTCTTGTTTCCCCAACCAATTTCAACTCTATCTATCTCTCTCCAACCACCATCTGATAGCAAAAGGCACTGGCCCTTTGTCATGACCCCCTTGACCTAAGTATGCAAGCTGAAGTGAGAGGGGAAGAGGATGAGGTGAAAAGAGAAGGGTGTATTAATCACGTTTGTAGCTTCTGCAAACTTGATGGTTTAACAACTGCCCTAAGTTCACATGCCAGACACCCCTTGTCCCAGACAACATGATAATGGGGCTGAGTTCCCTTGTCTTGGCTTTCTGTGCTCCCCTACCCCTCAAGATGAGTCCTCCACCCAGAGGTGTGCTTTTCAAATACAAACCAACCAATTCAGAGGCTACACCCACTATCATCTCCCTCGTCAGGCTCTCACTCTGGGCAACTGTACACACCAGCCTACTCACCACAGGGCCAGACGTGAGAGAGCTAAGGACAGCTCCTATGCTCCAAAGTCCACTGGAATTATTCAAAGTAGCCAGTCCTGCTTTCCCTGCCTTGCCTGTTCCTTCTTGTGGAAACCATGATAAAGGCTTTTACCCATAGTTCTCCTCCTTCCCTCTGCCTCCTAACCCTGGTGCTTCCCTGTGTGGCCCCCAATGGCATGACATGTATTCCCTCCCTTGGAATCTGCATATAATAGACTGTCTTTTCAATGGCAACTGTATCTTAATCTGTTGGCCTTACCAGACCTCAATAATAATAAATCCTATTAAAATGAGGGGGATGTAGGAAGAAGGGATGAGGGGGTTAGTTAATGGTTAATTCTACTTACTTGAGTTAAGAATCTGCATATTTTGTCTGTTTTGTTCCACCGAAGAAGGGCAAGAGGGTAGCCTCCTTTCAAAGTCCAGTCAGGAAACAAAGGGTGCTGGTGGGGAGACACCTGGTTGAAGCGCAGTTAACAAGCAGAACAAAAGCAGGAAGGGAAACAGAGGAAAATAGAAGCGAATGGCAATTGCTGCCAGGCTGAGCAAGTAACTGTGCTTAGAAGAGCTGCAGAAGCAACTGGGTGGAGTGAGAGGGGTGCAGGGTAAGAGGAGGTTTCTTCTTTGGGAGAACTGGCCACACACAGTGGGGAGGAGGCCCTCACTACCACCTATCGCTGACACATTCTTTGGGTCTTTAAAAAGGGATCCCAGGAAGATCTTCTCCTCATAAACTTTCTCACATTGTTCAGGGATGGTCAGTACTTCCCAGGGGAAAGTTTTCCACTAACGCAAAGTTTCCCAATCGTACCTGAACGAACACTCTCACAACCTGAACATTAAGCCCCACGTGTGCCTCAGGTTTGTCCCAAACTCTTCAGCCATTATCAGATTTCTCCCAAATGTGTCTGTGTGGGTCTCCTTCCAGCTAAGGACATTTGAACCCAAAAGAAATTCCTGAAAAACCTGAAACAAATAACAGAATTGCCTCAGCAGGTCTCCCCATGCTATGCTCCAGTGCCCACACAAACAAACAAAATATGTAGCAATCATAGTGGTGTATGGTTTCTGAGGAAAAACCACACATGCTAGAATTCATTAACTAATTATAGAGCTTATCACACTTACCATTAGACCATTTACCAAATGGTAGAAAAAGTTTCCAATATTTAGTGAGTACTACTGCTGATTGATGAGTGCTCCCTGAGGATAAACCCATAAACCCTGGTTTATTATATTTCAGACAGACAGACTCAGCACTCCGAAGAAGAGCAAATTTTGTAAGCCCAGTGAAAGATATTTTAAATAAAAGATTCATACATACATATAAATACATAAGCCAGAGGGGCCTGGGTAGCACAGCAGGTAAAGCATCTGGCTTTGGCTCAGGTCATGATCCTGATGGAGCCCTGCATTGGGCCCCCTGCTCAAAGGGGAGCCTGCTTCTCCCTCTCCCTCTGCTGCTCCCCCTGCTTGTGCCCTCTCTCTCTCTGTCAAATAAATAAATAGAATCTTAAAATAAAGAAATACATACTTACATACATAAGCACACACACTAAAATGACACTATTTTAAATATATCCAGTATTTCTGAACATAGAAATCTTTCTTTTCACAGATTTGCAGTTTAGCAGTCCCAGCGGTGAAGGTTCTCCGTGCCAACGGGAATACTCTCCCTTGCAGCATGAAAAGGCTCTTTGTTACCGTGTTCTTATGCTACTTTCCCATTCAGTATGTTGCGGAGTACCACAGTTATTCTCCGCTCTGTCACAAATAAAACGGTGCATCAGGAAATTAGTAGAATTGCTAGAAAAGGAGAGGAGGATTTTAAATAAGCTGTCCACTATAACATTCTGGATTTGCTTCTTTATGGTGAAGCCAAGTTCATATCTTCAAAATAATGAGAATCTCTGAAGGTTGACAGCATACTTTGAGTTCTTCTACTACATTAAGTCCGGTTACACAATTCCTTGGGGACCTCCAGACCATTCTAGAAAAGGTTTCATAATGCATGAGAACACTGCCTACAGCAGGGTAGGAGACTTCTGTTCCCCACTCCCTTACACCCTTTATTTGGTAACAGTACCATGATGTATCTTTGGGGAACCTCTCCACTCTTGCTCTCAGTCCATGTACTTTAGGTGGGGCTACTTTTGCACCCTGGCTGTAGAAGTGAACTCATGACCCCAAGCCAAACTGATAATATTCAATCTCAGGATATTAACTAGAACCTTTATAAGAGATTCTTTCTTTTAAATTGCCAAATTTGGGACACCTGGGTGGCTCAGTTGGTTAAGCATCCAACTCTTGCTTTCAGCTCAGGTCATGATCTCAGGGTCATGAATTCAAGTCCTGCATTGGGCTCCATGCTGGGTGTGAATCCTACTTTAAAAAATATAAATAAATAAAATAAAGTTGCCAAACTGGTGAAACATAAGTCTGATGTGTTGGGTGAATATTTTTGCCCTAATTTTGGAAATGCTTCAGAAGGGACCCAACACACAGGAAAGAAAGCAGAGTCAACGATAGTGAAGTAGACATGGTGATGTGCCACATAGGTCTTTCTTAAGTCTCTTTTGCCACTGATTGCCTAGCTGCAAGGAGTGTGGTCAGCAGATGGCTTCCAGCTGTCAGCTTCTTCAGAGTCTGCCTCAGCTACGAAAAGATGACTCACCTGAAGTCATGCCCATCCTGGGTAAGCCCACATTAATGATTGAACAAGGTCAGGTATCAAGCCTGGCCATTTTGACTGACCTTGGGAAAGATGCCATTGTCATTATTTAATACAGAGCTCCTCATTAGGTTGGCTGCAGTTTTATAGGGCCTGCCTCATAGTTTTTCTTCTCCCTTTCCCTTTCCTTTCACAGGTTTTGATCCCTAATAAACAGCTCCCACTTTGAGCTGCATCTCAGTGTCTGTTTCTGGAAAACTCTGCCTGTGATAGGTAGAAGAAAACAGATGACTGATACATTATTTGAGAAACCAGGTGTGGCTGAAATAAGTTTCTCCAGACTTGCAATATATTGAGTCAGTAAAGTCTCTAGAACTGAGAGATTCTTGACAAAAGCAGGCTTTATATACCATAGCCCAAAGATTTCATGGGAAATTCTGAATCTATCTATTTGTACTTGGATATTTCCTGTTTTTGCATTTCTAACCACCAACTCCCTCATTCTCTTCAAACTAATCTGGTAATCCATCTTAATCTTCTCAGGTTTATGAGAAATGAGATCTTGCCACCCAAATTACTGAGGACTACAGAAATCACTAATGAAGGAGAAGGACTTGAGTCTAGAAATTTCTTAGTCCAAAGCCTATTGTGGGCAACAAGGAAAAAAACCATTTAAGAAAGGAGAGTAAGTTTGTTCCTAAAGTAAGAAAACCAATATGCCCAGTTATTGAAAGCCAAGAAAGGCAGAGATGGAGGAAATGAGATAATGAGCTAATATTCATCCCTAATTTACATTTGCTTTCATGCATAGCTTTTGTCTGTCTTTCCATTCTGTCCTACGGGGCTCCATTCTACTAAGTGCAGACTTTATACTTCCTCAAAACATTTTCTCAGCTCTAGTTTTATTAAAAATCTGCTTATAAGGGTGCCTAGGTAGTGCAGAGGTTAAGTGTCCAACTCTTGGTGTCAGCTCAGGTCATGATCTCAGGGCCATTAGATAGAGCCCCACATTGGCCTCCACATTCAGTGCAGAGTCTGCTTAAGACTCTCTCTCCTTTTCCCTCTGCCTCTCCCACCCTGTGCTCGCACACACAATCTCTCTCTCAAATAAATAAATACATTTTTTAAATGTGCTTATTTAATGATAACACAATGCTATCCTGTACCATTTTCTATGTAATGTTCATTTCACTGGACACACTTAGACATTAGCAAAGGACCCCAATTTATGCACTAAATATTAGAGGACCTCATCAAACTTTCTTTCATCTGTCCTTTCAGTGGGTTGAGATATCTCTGGGGCCAAGTGATATACTTGTGCCTTCCCTCCCAGAGCACACTCAGGTCCCAGGGACAACAGAACTTCATGCTCCCTGAAGAGACCACTTCCTCTGGCCATACTCCAAAAGTGCCTACCATACTGCTAGTGTGTACAACTCTAGGCCCAAGAGGATGGCCAGGAAGTGGTTGTATGTGGAGAGTGGGGGCAGAGACTACAAAAGTGGGCTAAAAATAGGAAGAGAAAAAGAGGTGTGCATCAGAAGCCAGCATGAAACTCCAAGGAATTCCAGAATTATAAATTGCAACTGGGACAAAAGGTAAAGGGTAATTTTTATTACTATTATTCCCATTTATCTTTGTGGTTTCTTCTAAATCATCAAATTGCCCTAATCTTTCCATCGCTAATCATTTGAAGTCTCAAATTTATAGAAAGTCAGCCTTGTAATTTCTCCTGAGAGAAATCATAGGTCTAAGAGACCCTAACTCTGCATAAGTTCATGAAATTAACTTGATTGTACCCTAACAAGGTATTCTTATTGCTCTCCTGTCTCCTAAGCCAACTCAACAGAGTAACCATTGAGTACCACCTACATTACTGAGTACCTATTACATTAGACACTGAGAATTCAAATGATATGGACCTATTTTCTGCTCTTGAAGAGTTCATAATCTAGTGTTTGTAATAGTGTTTGTATATGTATGACAAATCCTGAAAAACAATGGTTAAAATAATATGTAACTTTGAATAATTGATAATTAATTAATGTTGATTTATAAGAACTGAATTTGGAGGAGGCAGGTGAGAAGGGCTGGCAATGAGGAGGAAGGGTCTTAGATGGTTTCATAGCAAAGGTAGTAATGTTGAAAATAACATGCCTGTTCAGGAAATACCAAGTAGCTCTACATTGTTAGATCTTCAGATTTAAGGGGTTGAGAAAAACATGATTAAAAACTAGCTCAAAATGGTAGCAGTCAACTCACAGAGGACCTTGGATGCCCTTATATAATAAGGCACTGAGATTTTACCTTATTGATTGAGGGGGAAAAAAAGAGTTTTATACAGGAGAGGGACATAATCAATATCAAATCTTAAAAAGATCATTTGATGACAGAGATGGATCCAAGGCAAGACTGATTCAAGGTAGGGTGACCACATAATTACTGGCCAACTGGAATACTGAAAAAGGAGCACTACGATCATTCCCACTTAGAAAATAGGCATAACTGGAACTGGACACAGAGCCAATGTAAACATAAACTTGTACTATTTCCTCTTATTAGTAATTCTAGGATCATTATACAGCAGCTCGGGAAAGCTGTTCTATGTTAGGACAAATTGTAATATTTTGATAATCTATGATATAAACTGCCTTGTATCTATTTTAGTTTGATATTAGTAGTTTGTGAGGAATCCTGTAGTTTGCATTTGAATGACTTCAGTTCCTGTAGTTTGCATTTGAATGACGTCAGTATATGTCCACTTTTCAATTTGACCTAAGGAAGCACTACTAGGTTTTGAGTTTTGCCTAGGTGTTTGAGAAGCCTAAAGTCATTAAAATAAAGCCTAACATCAAAAAATTGGAAGCCAAGTAACTTGTGCAGAAGGAATACACAGAAAACTTG